CTTACATGTCTACAATGTCTGGAAACTATATCCAAGAAAGACATATTATATGCATGTATAATCTATTGTATAAGGCTTAGGAATGTTCTTGCTATACATAAAAACCTATCCCCACTTAATTATTTCAGAAGAGTACAATGCAACTAAGAGTACAACTGTTCATCTTCGCCAATCAGCTTTTTCTCTCCACAATATCGAACTGAACTTGCATTGTTTGCGTCCAGTTGCCGTTTTACCTCACCGGAAAAACTAGTTCTTCGTGCTGTCGTCTAACGAAAATTAACATGGGAGAATGATTTTTTTAATTTTCATCTAAAAAGTTTTAGAACGAAGCTGATCGGACGACATCTTCTGATGGTCGCCCATTCCAACACAATACCTCGTGCTTATGTCTTGGCCAATGAGGACAGAGGAAAATTTGAGGTGAACTATAACGGTGGATGGTAGCTATCAAAGTTAATAAAAATCACGAGCTAGTTCGTCTAATTGTCAGTCAATATAAACCACTGACCGATTTATCGAGGAACAAAACATATTTTAGTTTAGAAACGTCTCGAAAACGCGAAGTTAAAATTCAGTTTCACTTTCTCGTCTATGGGTCGTTAAGCGGCCTCTGTGTATCCAATCAGATTGCGAGTTTGCCAATAGCATGCAATAGTGTAATGTTAATTTATGTTAATTATTTTTATGTTGAAATGGATTACCATTATTGATGTCCTCGTCGATTTTTGATATTTTGCTTCGTTAGGAAAGATCCACATTGGAAATCCACTTGTTGGTCGATATACAATGTTTCAGACAGTTACGAATTCAAAATACTCTTTGAAACAGTCAGAACAACTCTGGGTTTTCGCTGTGAAATTTTTGTCTACACAGACAATTCAGAATTCACACATAAGACAGGCAGACTTAAAAATTTTTAAATTTTTGTCATGGCTTTTAATAATGTCGCTGAACGAATTGCATGCGTTTTAGTGTGATTTTCATAACATCATGTTTTCAAATTGTTTTAATGAATCCATTTGTGGTTTTACTGATTCTTAACTCGTTCTTCTTGTGTGAATATTATGCGCAGACCAGATGGAGATAGCAGCAAAGATTTTAGTTTTATCAGTGAAATAGTTTAAAATGGAGAGGCATGTCGATATGATTGGTTAAATCCGACGAATAATACATCAACCGTGGTAAACCCGAGACCAAAATACAGCGTGGGTAAATGTTTCAAGACTGAACAGAAACCGTCGACGAATATTGTTGCTAAAAACTTAAGGTGAGTAAGTGCTTCTATTCATCTGTTCGCTTTTATCGGCCGTCGCGTGCGAAATTTGTTGTTTTCAAAGAGGTGTATTTGCGCTCGCTTATTTGGGCTTTAGCTTCTCATTCTTTGCGTAAAAGTGCGATCAGAACTTTACTTACAGACGCATATTACAGTTAACCCTGTGTTTTATGGATTATTTTAATTTCTTGTCTATTCTTGAAGTCCAAAGTGTTTAGATCAGAGTTTAGTTTCACTACTGTCGGATCTTGGTTTTCCTAGCACGAAAGTACGCACAAAACATTTTATCTTCAATCATCGCCGGTGAAACCAAAAGAATTATCCGATGGAGCTTCAAGATCGATCTAAATCCCAATGATCATGAGGTTTATACAGCTTTGACAATTTCCTTCGTATGGCAAATACGAGGATTTTTGGAAGGCTGTTCATTAGTTTTCAGCAATTCATGGTAAACAAATCTTCAAACTATCAGTTCTCTCTATCTAGTGTAGATCATCTTTATCAATATTTGTACAAAACGTACTGACGAAATTCTTTCTTAGTACCTTGCGCGAATAAGACACAATGTTTTGGTAAGCGGAATTTATCTTTTCATTCTTTCGGGAAGACTTTCTGAGACTATCTTGTCTAGATATCTTATCAGAATTATCTACGAATAGCACAGGAAGCTGCTTCAGCCGCCCCGCCGGCAAATTAATGATAACTATTCAATACCACATTCGTTGATCGCCCCCCTTGTGACAGGTAAGTTACCTTGAGGCTACAAGCAAGAACAAGATCAGATATTACCTTATTAAATTAAACTAAGGACCAAAGTCAAGTCCTACTTCGTTAACTTCCAAAGAAAATCACTTCTCAAGAAGATCGTTTTCCGTCGAGATATCGCTGAATGCTGACAAATATTTTTTTAAAAAGAAATTACGGCAACTTTAGGGGAAAATAATTTGTGGTTGAAATGAAAGAAATAATTCATCAGGCTTCTCAATTGAAGAAAATTGTACAACACTCTAGAACAAAATAAAAAGTGATTCATAGCTTTCTTCGGGTCTGGGGCCCGTTTCTCGAAAGCCCCGGAAACTTTTCGGGTCCGTAAAACCATTTTTGGTCCATCTGTATCTAAAAACGGAGAAGTGTATACGCCTGAAACTTCTTGTATAAAGGGAACTTCTCTTCATATTAACAATATGTGAATAAAACAGCTCTGTAATCGAAAGGTTCGAGATTTTACTTTGGCTTTCCGGGCCCGAAAAGTTTCCGGGGCTTTCGAAAAACGGGCCCGAGCCCGGTTAGCCGGCGAGATCCCGGTATCGCGGTGCCGGGATCCCGGCAAACCGGGCTGAGATTTTTCCATGTAATCGCGTTTGCCGGGCCAGCCCGGCTCATTATTCCTCTTTGTACATAGCAGAAACAGATATAAAATTCCACGTAACTGCATAACTGCATAAGATAATACAGTCAACTGCTGGAAAAAGGCAATTACAATCATTCGCCGCATTCTTGTAGTGTCCGTTTTGAAAACTACAACTTCCCGCCATAATATATCGAGCGGCTCGCGCCTTCTTCGCCCCAAAATCAAGCTCGCACCGGTCTCCCGCGGTTCATCGCATCACCCATCAACCGGGCTGGCTCACCTCATGTAATACCGGGCTGAAAGTCATCTCGGCACACCGAAGCAGTCCGGCTAACTGGGCCAGGCCGGCTTACGTAATCAGGTCCTTACATAAGTTAACTTTTCTTTACAGAACAAACGCGAAAGCTTACGCGCACAACTAGCGCGAGCAGATAAGCTTATATTCACTCACAGCGCGAAATTGAAGTCTTCTTTTCGGACCTGAAAAACTCACCTTTTCCATCAGCTTAGAGCATAAAACTACATATAAGCGCCCTAGTTTTTATTCCCTGCCTTATTCCCTACCATCGCGGTGAAAAATCCGCAAGAGAATCTCGCAATTCTAACCATTTGATCACGCAACCTGACAGCATGCACGCGAGAACCCACGGCATGTGCGTGGATCTGCGCGGATATACGTCGTCAGGGTGGCGCAATTTGTTCTAAAAATAGCAAAATTGTCACGTATCATAGGTGCGCGAGGATTCCAAGACTTACTGTCTCCGCCCCCGATTATGGCTCCTGCTTGGATATATAAATAAGCGTTTACCAAAATTTAACTTATACTGCTATCCAAATGCTTGTTTTTGTCCATCGTTGAGAACGCAAAAGTTTCCCTAAATAACACCAAAGCAACTCCTCTAGAAGAGAACGCTAATTTAACAAGCGATAAGTTGGTTGCGCAAGCGATATTTCCCTACCGTAGCAGAGAGAGTCCATTTTATACTTGTCCGCAGTGTTTTGTGTTACATAAGTGTATTCAGGAAGACCTTTGATTCAGACCTTCCAGCAACCCGAAGGACGATTCATTGCTTCTAAACCATTATCGCCCTCGAGACTTCTAGATGCATTCTTATTCCTTACCATTTTTAAAGGTGTGTTTTGCAAAACGTTGCTGTCTAGCAGAAAACCACGACACACGACGCCATGTTTTAGTTTTGGATACTGCGATCAAAAATGCAAATGTAGAAACACAATAGATACCAAAAAACACTCTGGGGAGTAGAAAAGAAGCAATTTTTGGGTAATTTCAAAGGGCCACTTGCCTCACTTACCCTTTGAGGGAGTTCATATGTTCCCTTCCCCACCCCTACACGAAGTTTACAAATTTCTGCTACGGCCTTTTAGTATATATGTTGTCATATTGTGTCCAAAAACTTAAGACAAAAATATTGACATCTGAGGCCCACGTTTTCGATCAGGCCGCTAGCATTTCGCTTTCTTGAAGTTCCTAGTTTGCCAATATTCTAATCTCAAAACTGCCGTGGTAAAAATAAGTAAAGAAATAGGCAGAGTGCGTTAAGTTAGTCACATTACCAATAAATTGATTAACAGCGTCGATGTCGTAATGTAAATGTTATGACGGTTTTATGGTTTTAAACAGCAAAGGCGACAATTTGTGCCAAAAAGTTGCTGGATGCTTGGCGAATAAACGTTTTATCCTACAAACAAACTCTTTAAATTTTTCAAACTTTCAAAGAGGCTAGCGCCCTGTGTTATTTAAACTGGGTTACTTTTTACAGTTGGGCAAGTTTCCAAAAACAGAGTCAGTTTTTACATGAAGTTTAGTATGCAATACTGATCATTCGTCCATATCCCCTTAGTGAATTAGGTCTTTTAATGCCAGAATGTTAATGCCTTTAACGTAGGAGTTTATGCCACTGCAGTAAAGAGTTATATTGACACTTTGATCAAGGTATACTCATTGTTATCTTTCCGTCTTGTTTCAGGTTCTTGTTGCCATTCTCCCTCAGAAGCTGCAGACGCACTACTTTGATGTTGAAACCAAAAATTGGAAACCTTTGCCATCCATGGCAAAAGTTTTTGAAGGAACTCAAGCATGCCGTAGTGCAGTTCATGTTGGCAACTGCTTGTATGTAGTTGCAGAGAACAAAAGCTGTCAATACGTTATCTATCGTTATGACTTAGTTAATAACTTATGGGAAACACTGCCACCTTTTTTGGGTTCCAAACATCAGATCAACTGCCTTTGTGCTGTTGATGAATGTATCTATGCATTCGGTGACTCCACTTTGCCTCACAGATATAGTTTGGCTAATAATAATTGGCAAAGTGGAGCCAAGTTGAGCTTCTATTACACAAATGACAGCAAGAAAGATAAGTTACAAAACGTAGCAGCAGTGGTTTTCAAATCTAAAATATATTCAATTCATGGATATACAAGAAGTGAACATGATAATGGGAATTATAATTATCGAGTAGATATGGCAGCTGTTGTGCATTGTTTTGACCCAGCAGAGAATGAATGGGAACAAAAAACGTCAACCTGGTATCCTCATTTTGGATCCAGTCTTTTTGTTGTCAACAACAGACTGTGTGTAGCTGGGGGGAAAATTTCTACTCGTAATGACAATCCAGCCCCAGTTGAAGTTTATAGTGAGGAAAACAATGCTTGGTCTGTTGAGGAACAAAACCATATTCCCCCAAACAATCTTGGTGCAGTGGAGATAAAAGGGAGGGTGTATTTCATCGCAAACAAATTTCCACTTGATAGTGGGATTAGAATCCCACCCGAGGAGGCCTATAACGTCTCTTTAAACGAATGGGAAAAGGTAGCAAAAGTTAGGAGTGATGCAGCCTTGTGTTATCTGCCTGTAAAAAGAGAAAACTTGAGAGAAGAGCAACGTGAAAGTCAAAGTAACTAACAGTTTAAGTTGTCGCATATGATAGCTCATCATATCCCATTCCAGCTTTATGTGTGTGATAGCCTCGCTGCAATTTTTTTCACTAGAGGAGTGATCACAAAAGATAAAACATAAATCCTAAAATGTAAATGCCACGCCACCATTAGTTAACAGTTCCTTAGTCGTACCTGGAACTTTTGTAAATGTAGTTTTTTCGACTACTTTTGAAAGTTTATGTAAAATTATTCGGGGCTTGGTTTGATGGTCTGCTATATTTTGTAATCTAGGATTTATTACGGCTAGAGCCATATACTCATTGATAGTCAAACAATGTAACGTGCATTAATTGGTGTTCAGTGTCACAAAGTGTGATATAATAAACCTATATAGTGACTCCAAAACAAGAAGTTTATTACTTAGATGTTGTCTGTATCTCATATTATCGCACAAGTAATAAATACATACTTCTTAATGACTGAGTTTGAGGTCCATTCTGTAAGTTACATGCCGAGTTTTTCCTTCCATTTGTTGTCCAGGTGCGAAGCGCGTGACCTCAGTCTAGCCCCAGTGGCTTTCTCGCCAACACGTGAGAGATGAGTGAACAAGCGTGGCTGTCGAGAAAGAGCTGGATCATCATACAGACTCTGGGTACAAAATTGAACAAACAGTTTTTACGAATGTGTTTGAAGTTGTTGCCGCAGTTTATCATCTTCAAGTGACAAGTAATGTTAAACTATGATGCGATTTCACTCTGATCGATCCAGTTTGTACAGCTTCAGTTCCGTGACCCTTCTTGCGTGATGTTTAGATGCAGACGCGACCATCACACAAATATCTGTAAGATTTGCATTCCTTGATCTGCAAGATTTGCATTTTTAAAACTGCAAATCACTGTTGCATAAAAACGCTCCCTCTTTCACTTCACTATCAGAGTTCGTCAACATCTCAAGATGGTCGCCCATTCTGAGATTCTTTTATCCAAGCGTGCTCAGTTTCGAGACGAAGGTCAATTCATCGACGTTCGTTTAAAAGTGCGTGAAGACATCTTTCCAGCTCATCGCATTGTACTCGCAACGAATAGCGATTATTTCCACGCCATGTTTACTGCTGGAATAAAGGAGTCAAACAGGGACGTGATCGCACTCAAAGATGAAAGCATTTCACCTGATGCTTTGAAGATTGCAATGGACTCCATCCACACTGGAGATCTTCATGTCAACAAGGAAAACTTGTTTGAAGTTCTTGCCGCAGCTGATCATCTTCAAGTCACAACTGCTGTTCTTGAAGAGGGAATTCATCCAGCTTCGACCTGACCTTCATAACTACTGTTTGCTTTCCACAGTGGCCGATAGACACGGTCTGAGAGATCTGCAAGAGGCAGCGGAGAAGAAGATGGCTTCGATGTACGTGGATGTCTGTGAAAGCGAAG